CGAGAGCGTGGTAACGAACGTGTTACGGAGTTTTGACTATCTGTGACAAAATAAATGGATAACAACATTACCATTGAGCCAAGTCCTCGTGGCAAAGGGCGAAAGAGAATAGCAAATAAGCAAGAGTGGAAGCGTGAAAAAGCCAAGACAAAGAGGTATGTTTGTTTTGCAAATTCGGGATTAGCAACCTCGAAAAGTAGTTCTTTTACTTTTGTAGGTATTCTCGGCAACATCTACCTGAATTCCCCACTTGTAGGCATAGAACAAAAACAATGCAATGTTGTTTATTAACTATGACTGAAATAAGGAAATTCAATGAGGGTTTTTACCAGAAGAAAAACAAATTGTTTCAAGATATGTTTGTATTGAAGCATTGCGTCACAAGTAAGCCGAAAAGGCCGGGTACCAAAATTAAAGAAAATGTTCGTAATAAACCAAAAACAAAGGCGATCAGTGTCAAGTACAACATTAAAACTTCCAAAGGGACAATTCCTGTGTGCAAAAAAACATTTGTGGCTATACTAGGTATTGAAAAAACCGACTTGAAAGAATACTTAGCAGATATCACCAGACCGGAGGTTTACCAGCAGAAAACAGAGGAGGTGATAAAAGCTGCTAAAAGACAAGCTATAAAGAATTTCATCGAGGGATTAAATTGCTGCGAAACCCATTATGCAGGTAATAAAACAATTATTAGGCGATACTTACCATGTGAGCTGAATATTGTCAAATTATGGAAGATGTACAATGACCGAATGGATGAAACCCTAAAAGTTAACCAGTGTTTTTTCAGAAACATTTTTGTACGACAATACAATATTGGCTTTGGATCTCCGAAGGTTGATGTATGTTCAAAATGCCTGCAGTTTTCAGAAAAACTAAGAAAAATTACCGACCCTCAAGAAAAAATAACGGCAATGACAGAACAGCGTGTACACAAACTACGCAGTAATGCATTTTATGACTTGCTAAGAGAAAATGATCCCAAAACTGCAATTTTTTCCTTTGACTGTCAGAAAAACTTACCACTGCCAAAAATTTCAGATCAAGCCTGTTATTTTAGTATGCAGGTCAATTTATATAATTTGACGGTAGTAAGTGGGCACTCAAAGTCGAAACTCACTCCTGAAAACGTAAAATCATTTATTTGGACAGAAAAGGACCGCAAAGGAGCGCAAATGAAATAGTTTCTGCAGTTTTTTACTCATTGCAGAACTTTAATTTTGATGAAGAGGTACAGCAAGTGCGTTTGGTGTGCGATGGGTGTGGAGGACAAAATAAAAATAGTTCGATGATCGGTATGGTCCAATACTGGCTGAAGCGCTGTTCTCCACCTCAGATATAACTCATAGAACTCGTTTATCCAGTAGTCGGTCATTCTTTCCTCCCCCCAGATCGAGTCTTTGGCCAAATCGAGAGGAAGATTAAAAAATGTGCCACCATAATTAACCCAGAGATGTACCTGAAGATAATTAAAGAGTATGCTACAGTACTTAGAATGGGCGAAGATTACCCAATCTTCGACTGGAAAAGTGACGTGAAAAAAGTTCAGAAGAGCCCTGGATCTTGGCATTTCCGCTTTCAACCGTCTAAACGCATAATTTTTACAAAGGCCACCGATGGTTCCGTTCTTGTCAGGGGTGAACCATTTTACAAAAACGATATTTCTATAGCTAAGAGCATCTGTAAGAAATTTCAAACAGTTAACCACTTCAAGTTACAATCACTGAATACCGGCAGAAGCCTTAAACCGGACAAGATAAGAAGCATTTCCTCTTTGCTAGCCAAACACTATGGTGCAGAATGGGAAAATGATGAATCCAGCCAACACTTCGGAAACTCAGCTGGATGTGAATGACACACTAGCGTTTTCTGATAATGAAGAAGATACTGACTTACGAATTTAAATTTGTACCTAAGAAACTAATTTTGTACTTTTTTTCAATAAAATCAGCTTCTTTAAAATCTCTTTTATCGCAATTCCAAATTTTATTAGTGCAGATACTGCTAATCTTTTTACAGAAATGCCAAATCCACAACTTTGCAGTTCACGAAGCAGAGATTTCCAAGCCTTAGATGCAAAACAAGACATTCTCATTTTTTTAATCAAAATAACTTTTTTACTATAAGCCTGACTTGCGCTTTAAAGCACATACAGACGTGTCAATGTATTATCTACTGTTGGTTAAAATGATACATGACATGACAAGTTCTTTTCTTGTTCGGTAAGGTCGGTAAGTGCGCAGCGCCCTCTTTTAGTTGTTATTACAAACATTATGTCTACTATACTACATATAATGGAATCAATTTCAATAGTAGTCGTGGACAATAATTATTTGAATCGTGAAAATTTCAAAAAACGTCAACTTATATTAATTTTAATAATTTTGATATTTAATTTTAACAAATTGTTGTGAAGTTGGTTACAGTTGCCAACGTTGACTTTGTGTCACATTGACGTTTAAACTTTATTCAAAAATGTATTTAAAAAATGAATTTAGGGAATCAATTTCAATAGTCGTGGACAAAGTATAGTATTCTACTCACATATAATGAGCTATTATTCCCCCCCTCATTATATGCTCATATAATAATATACTATTTTAGATGTATGAGGTCATCGTAAGGCGATTAGAACGGCTACGGTGATATTATGCCGTTTTTGTTTGCGTAGCCAGTCCTTTGAATCCCCTCTACAACACGAGGGCCTGTATTTCTAGTAGGCTTTGATTAAGTTGAAAAAAAAAAATTCCGATACCGGGAATCGAACCCGAGCCTCCTGGGTGAGAGCCAGGTATCCTAGCCACTAGACCATATCGGAGTATAAAAGAAAATGGTATTAAGAGCATGAGAGTATACTTACATTTATGTTCAAATATAAAGTAAAAAAAGCTGCTAAAGCTGTAAATAGACTATTAACATACAAAATTAATATAGTAATGTTGATTATAAAGTTATACTATTCATATTTCTCTAACTTGTATCAAAAGGTATTTTTTCGAAAACTAAATCATACTGTTCTTCTTGAGCCATATAATTCATGAACGCTTCATGTAAAAGAGGTAAAAAGTAACGGTAGTACATTGTTTTACTATAAAATATCTATTAAAAATCCTATTAGCAGTAATTTCCGGAAGAAATGTTTTTATATATCCGATATGGTCTAGTGGCTAGGATACCTGGCTTTCACCCAGGAGGCTCGGGTTCGATTCCCGGTATCGGAAGAGTTTTTTATTTCAATACCTTTTTTGTGACATATGATTTTACATAAATAAAAACCTTACAAAATAAATTTAAATTTACCCATACAGTCAAACGAAGTCAATTTTCAACACCGATTTAAAATTTTACTACAATTTTACTACTGCCACATTTTTATATCTTTTCAGTGTTACATCCATTCTATAATTTCATTGCATTTGTTTTAATATTATTTATATTTGAGGCGAAGATGATACAGCATATCAAACAGAAGTAGATTCGATATTTCAAAAAATCTTTTCTTGAACGTTGTAAACGATACAAAAGATTTTTTCGCGTAAAACTTCCTTAGAATTAATATATCTAACTACTAAAGCAGTCGTTTCCGATATAAGCGGAAGTGATATAATGCTACTATTTTCAAGAGATAGGCCCCTTTACCTTATATCGATTTGTGAAATACCAAATTTTTCGCTACTATAGTATAGTTCCTCTATAAAACAATTTAGATATGAGGAATTTACGATCATGTAATTTCACGAAAAAATGTGAAATAATATATGTTTAATGTTTTGTACGAAATTTTATAGTAGTATTTTTCTTTGAAGTCCTAATTTATATGAACAGAAAATGAGCATGAATTTAAGTAAAGTACTACTTCTTCTTAACAAATTTAATTCAAATTTTGATACAACATTTCCATTTTGATCTTCAATCGATCTTCATTTGATCGCAATCATATGCCAAGTTTCATAAACCTAGCTAATTGCTAACACGTAACAATATTTTCGATCGGGTTTTCCTTCCGTTCGGACTCGGACCACTGTGCGCCGTCTTGCCGATCGAACCGCATTTTATTCGAATTACACTTTTCATGTAAATGAACGTTAAACTTACTACACACTATGTCCATAAACGACTATTTCTAGGGAATTCACCGAAAAAATGCGTCAAAACTGGTTTCTGATAATATGAAAGATAATGTAATCCTGATATCTCATCAATCATCCCAATGGTGTGTTTTTGCACCATTAATGGTTCTAGCCGTATTTTCAGAATTCATATTTTTATTTCGCGTGCAAATGTCAAAATTTTAAAGAATTTTATGCACTAAAAATAGTTTTATTTCTATTGTATATTTTGAACAGAAGTGTTCAATAGAAAAGAATTGACGCAAATATGGTTTTAATAGCAAGAATTATGAAATATTTTGATATGTATAGCCTAACACAGTGGTTCTCAAACTATGGTACGCGTACCACTGATGGTACGCGAGAAGTTCTCAAGTGGTACGCAAGCCAACGTTAAATTATTTCTAGAGTATAATTTTCTTTTCCCTCAAATAAAAAAATATAATGTCCTAACAAACTCAATAGCAAAATAAAAAACATAAAAGATAATCGGATTTTAGGTTCGTGAATATAGGCATATATCAACCGTCCCAATACTCAGCGAGCAGCGTTGCCAACCCTACCGATTTATCGGTAGATCTACCGAATTAGAAAGTAATCTACCTATCTACCGATTTGTCATCACATCTACCGATTTTAAAGTTTTTTATTTTAGTCACATATTTATATGTATGCATTTATTTTTAAATAATAGATTGAAATCAAAAAAGAAAAATACATTTGATTTGTTATGCAATATGCAACTCATCTTACTTACTTACCGATATTACAGAATTCTCACCTTATGGCAATTCCCAATTTATCCTTTTATGTGCCCGGTGAAATTCACGTTCTATTACTTTATTCTTTTTATTTCGTGTTTAAACATGTGGTAACTTACAAGTAAGAACTACTTAGAACTACTTCTTTAAAATAGAAATAAAAACCTATAAATAATTAACATCGATTAAGTCCAGAAATTTTATTTAATTATTATATAAATAAGAAAATTAATATTTTGTTTTATCTTTTTATAACAATTTTTGTCCAATATTTTTTAAACCTACCGATTTTTCCCGACATCTACCGATATTTCACGACCGGATCTACCGAGTTTTGAATTTGTAGGTTGGCAACGCTGTCAGCGAGTGAGTGAATCCCCAATTTCTAAATACGGTACTACAGCGTGTCAATAAAGTTTGTTATTTTATTGGGCAATATTGTTAGCGTGTATTGTTGGAAAGTGTTGTTATTTACAAATTGTTATATTTATATTTAGTTTGCTTGTATTTTCACGTCAACATGGATAAGTGGCTCAAAAAAGCTTCTGAAAAACAACCGTGCGTAGAAGTATCAGCGGAATCTACTTCAGGGACTGAATGTGTAGATACAGAAGAAATTCCTTCGAAGATAAGAAAAGTTATTAGAAAATATGATGCTAACTACATTAGTATTGGATTCACCGTTACGGAGGTCAAAAATGAACCTCGTCCTCAATGTGTAGTCTGCTTTGAAATTCTATCAAATCAATGTATGAAACCGTCGTTATTGAAACGCCATCTTACAACAAAACATTCGACATTAGAAAACAAACCTAAAGAATATTTCCTTCGCAAATTGAATGAAATGAAAATTTCAAAAAAGATAATGTCTTCTTTTACGAGCAGTACTCAAAAAGGTGTGCAAGCGTCCTTTTTAGCCAGCCTAAGAATAGCACAGTGTGGAAAAGCCCATACAATAGGTGAAGAATTGTTGTTACCTGCTGCAAAAGATATGGTGAATTGCATTTTGGGCGAAAACGCTGCTAAGCAAGTTCGGCGTAGGGTAGATGCTATGGCATCAAACGTGAAGAACATATTAATAGATAGAATAAGAAGTAGTGATTTTTTTGCCATTCAACTTGATGAAAGCACGGATGTTACAAATTATGCCCAACTTATGGTTTATGTACGGTACTTATTTAATACCGAAATTAAGGAAGATTACTTATTTTGTACGACATTATCAACCCATACTACTGCAGACGAAATATTTAAGAATTTGAACGAATTTTTTGAAGAAATAGCCTCGATTGGAAGAAATGTGTGGGTTTTTGTTCTGATGGTGCTCGAACTATGACTAGAAAGTATGGAGGTGTTGTTAGTAAAGTTAAAGGAGTTACAGAAAATTGTATTTTTACCCATTGTGCAATTCACAGAGAAGCTCTCGTTGTAAAGCGGATTCCTGATGAATTTAAAAATGTTCTTCAAGAAGCAGTTAAAATAGTAAATTATATAAAATCACGTGCACTGAACTCTCGGTTATTTTCAAAACTGTGTTCAGAACTGGGCAGTGACCATATTCAATTATTACTACATACAGAGGTCAGATGGCTTTCACGGGGAAAAATGTTAAATAGGTTATTTGAATTAAATTCTGAAGTGCAAATGTTTCTTATGGAAACAAATTTTGAACTGCGTGATCGATTGAAAACTTGCAATCATTTCCTACTTTAGAAAATTTTGTGACTGAACACAACGTAAACATAGGAGAAAATTTTATTGATAATATAAAACGCCATTGTCAAATGTTAATTGATTCTTTTGAGCACTATTTTAAAGAAGATCATTCTCAGTTCCTTTGGTTTCGAAACCCATTTGTTCCAAATGAATCTTCGTTCAACATCTTATCTATAAATGAAAAGGAATCTTTATTAGAATTATCTTGTGATGGTGACTTGAAAATAGCATTTACCCAATTGGAGTTGGATGAATTTTGGTTAAAAATTAAAAATGAATATCCTTCGCTTAGCAAAAAAGCATTAGCATTCCTAATTCCATTTACAACTACCTACCTCTGTGAAACTGGATTTTCTGCAATGCTTATCGTAAAAAATAAATTTCGAAATAAATTATTAAACTTAGACCCAAATTTACGGTTAAAATTGTCTACAATTGAGCCTAATATTTCTACATTAATATTATTACTTCCCATCTTGTTAGAATACTTATGTGAATAAAAAACTTTGCTTTTCAGAAGGGTGGAATTTTCTTTATTTTCGGCTCTAAGCCCTAGAGCCTAAGCTCAGCATGATGCAGCATCATCCATCGCATTGACTTTACGTTTACGCATTATTATTACATAAATATATCACTGGTATTTTCTACTTATTATATATTATTAGTCCTTGCTTTAGTGTAAATACTTAATTTATTAAAAACGTTACACAGTTTATATTTGCATTATCATTATTGTTTTTTTTTGTTCAGTGGTACTACCTGATTTTTAAAATAGCCTTAGTGGTACGCAAGTATATAAGTTTGAGAACCGCTGGCCTAACAACCTTATAGTGTTATCGTACAAACAGCTAGCACCTTGAAATCTGGTAATGTATGGCTGTAAAATAATTTTTAAAACGCTGGTGCGTTTTCGCACCAGTGGCACTAAATGGGTTAACCCATTTAGGGCGCAACAGTATTAGATCAGGACCATACAGGCGCTTATATTGAACAAAACTTAACTGAAATGGTAAATGATTGGAATATTAGCAAGAAGCTGTTTCTGATTATACGTGATAATGCAGCCAATATGGTATGTGCTATGAGAACGCAATATCAATCCCTAGGCTGTGTGGCGCATACTCTGCAATTAGTCATAAAAAATGTTTTGTTTGAAAATGAGTGGAACAAAATTTTAGTACATAACTGTAGAAAAATTGTAGGCCATTTTCGTCGAAGCGAGCAGATCATCTAGCAAGCATCTAGAAAATTGACCGATTGTCAAAGTCAGTGTGGACTTCTGATTCATTGTTTGCTGCAAGACATAGAAATCAGGTGGAATAGCACCTACTTAATGCTGCAGCGACTTGTAGAGCAAAAACGAGTAATAAATCTCTATGCCGTTGAGCATGGAGGTATACCTACACTCTCCTGCACTGACTGGAAACATATTGAAAATTTAATAAATGTGCTAAAATATTTTATGAAGCTACACTCGACCCCTCTGATAGTACCTGTATTTCGATTATTATACCATTATTAGCTGTACTAAACAATAAACTACAACTTCAAGACGAAAACGAAAATGAAGACATTACTGAAATAAAAAGAAAACTATATTATGAATTTTTAAATAAACGATTTGATTATGCGAAAGGAAATTCTTTTCTTATAACATCTACGTTACTCGACCCAAGATTTAAATCCAAATACCTGACTTCTGCAGATGTAGATATTGCCATGACCGAAATGAGAAGCTTTTTGAACCACATAAAGGAAAAAACACCGAATGAAGAACTTGATTTATATCCAAATCTCTGCTCTAGTCACCCAGGAAAGGAAGGCAGTTTATGGGAAACGCATGACAACACACCTGATCACGACATTCACGACGCAAATTCGGTTTACGCAAATTTTTAACTCGGTTTAGCGAAAACCCTAGTTGGCCTAGTCGCTAGAGTTAAGTAAGATCAATTCTTTCTGAAAGCACTAAAGCTATCAAAATTTAATATTAAGTTGTTTGTGTAAATACGTAAAATATTAATTTGAAATATAAAATAAAAATCAGAATAAAGATTGAAAAAAAAGAAAAAACTTCCGATACCGGGAATCGAACCCGAGCCTCCTGGGTGAAAGCCAGGTATCCTAGCCACTAGACCATACACTTCAGTTATGTACTCCGTGGAGACTAGACGTGTTAGTTCGAGCTCGCGAAGTATTTTATACGACGAGAGTAGATCAGCAAGTCGGCTGAAAGTGCTTAACGATTGTGACCAATTACGGTAATTAATTTGAGGAAGTAGCGATCGTGCATAGTCCTTGGACTCTACTGGACCTGGGTACTGGATGGTTTGCGGACCTATTGCGGCAGAAGATGGCAACATGGCGAACACACGAGGTCAGAAGGGTGAACGCCGTCTTCGATGAAGATCCCGGAAGAACGGTAGACAGGCAGCTACTGCAGGAACTGGCCGCCGAATTACCTGGGCGGTCTGCAGCAGCAATTAAGAAGAAGGCATTAGAAATAAAGAAGAGACTAGAGACGCCCGTAGCACCAGAGGCGAACACGAAGACCAAAATCAAGGTATGGACTGAAGAAGAGGAACGCGAGATGGTGGAGAGATATGAGGAAACTATCCCCTCTTTTAGCCAAAAACTTCAACGCATCGCACATATCCGCCCCCACTTTCCTGGGCGCACTGACAAAGCGCTATCGAAGAGACTGAGAGAGCGTTATCCTGAAATCTACTACGCCGAGCACCCGAGACTGAGAACGGCGTTACCAGTCGTACCCGCTGTGGCAACGGGTGAAGACGGCGATAATGAGGATGAGCGGACGGGTCAGCATACCCCGATCGAAGAAGGGGAACGGACGCTACCGATTAACAGTAGCGATAAGCAGCTACACAGACCCATACCAGAAGCTAGGGAGGAGATTCCTGTAAGAACAGCTAGTTGTGAACACTCCTTCAGCGATGAGACACATAAAACACACAACTCAGAAGAATATACGAAGCTGTATAACCGAATTTATAACCTCGTACATTCCAACAAAAAGCCCAAAGGATTGGAGAGGTTCAGGGTAGGCGAGAATCATCCAAAGACCAAAGCAGTTGATGGTATTCTCAGGGCAAAGATAAAGGAAATAGAGGCCAGTACCAGAAATACGACAAGAAGACGCAAAAACATTAAAGTAGCGATTTTGGCGGCGGGTTATGTGCTGCGGAAACTGATCACCGGCAGAATTATGGATCCCAAACCTATACCACGATTTGTAGGATCAGTTAAAAGACTGGAAAAGCTTCAACTTAGGTTGACATTGGTAGAACAGATCCAAAATAATAAAGGCAACCCGTTCACTAAGGAGCAGAAAAAGCAGCAACGTATTCTGAGGAAATATAAGATCTCTCCTAGACAATACATCATAACCGCCGAAGACCAAATCAAGGCACTGACGAAGACGATTGAATGGGAGAAGGAAAGGTATCAGGAGGTTAAACAACGGATAGCTTTTGAAAATAGGCCTACCTTAAGGGTTAAGAAGACCAACGAACAGCCAGTGCTAGAGACCTCTACCAAGTACTTTTCGAACCTATATAAGAAGAGGGAGGGAACGAACGAGACCCCAATACTGGATGATTTCCTCCAGCTTACACGAAACCAAACCCCCACCAGTCAGCAAGTAGACATTACAGCCGTAAAGGGAAGTATTGAAATGGCCATTAAAGGAGCTGCTCCATGGAAGACATCGGGTCACGACAATATTCCCTATTTTCTGTATAAGATCTTTCCCGCGGCGAGAGAATTTCTGACCGAATTTGTCACGAAATGTATCTCCGGAGAATATCAGTTCAGAGCGGAAGATGTGATGGGAACAATAACCCTCATCCATAAGGAAGGACCAACAAACGACCCTGCAAACTTCAGGCCAATTGCGATCCTGAATACAGATTACAAAATACTAACCAAAGTCGTTGCAGGATTGATGAGGGAGGCTGTGGGGGAGTTGATACCCAGGGAGCAGCTAGCGAGACCAGGAGTATGGGGTACAGTGCAGGGGTTGATCCTAGACAAAGCGCTCGTCCAAGAAGCTAGGAACAGACAGCGGCAGCACTATGTGGCATGGTACGATTTTAAAAAAGCGTACGACTCGGTATCTCACAAGAGCCTAAGGAGAATGATTAGAGCACTACCTATTGCACAAAACATCCAGAACCTGATCCTGGCCATGATTAAAAATTGGAATATCCGTGTCAGAAACAAAAATAAGACCGGTGAAACAATTAGAGTAGAAAGGGGTGTCTACCAGGGTGACTGCTTGAGTCCGTTGTTGTTTACTCTCCTGACGGCGGGAATAATAAATAAGATCAAGACGGATCCCACGATTAGTAGTGCGTCGCGCGGAAGAACGACAATAATAGCGTACATGGACGACATCAAGTGCCACACAAGTAGCGCCAGGGCACTAGACAGAGTCTCCGCGCTAATTAAAGACGGGGCAGCAGAGTTAGGCATGGAGTTGAACGTCAGGAAGTCGGCCAAGTACGCATACAACCAGAAAATTGATGAAGTCCAGCTGGAAGAAGACTGGACTTTCATACCCTATATTAGGGAAAGCTACAAATATCTGGGAATCGAACA